GATAGAGTTGAATTTTGGTAGGCTTCTACAGCCTCTCGGAGGAAAGAAGGCAGGTTCTTCGGAAGCTCTAGCGACCCAGCACCGCTTCTCTTCTTTTATGTAGCTATTAGTCAGCATTGCTACAGTTTTCCCTTTATCTTTCACGAGCATATTCGTTCTTGATGTTCTCATAGCATTTCAATCCTCCAATCTACAGTAACATATTTAAATCCATGCTTATAGCAGGCAGGCATGGATCTGCAGTGCATAAGTGGAGTCGAAATCACCATGGCTCTATTTCGTTCGAATCCTAATGCTTCAATTAATAGAGTTTTATGCATATAGTCTTGGCCCAAACGAAATTGACAGAGGTTGGATTCATATATATTAATTAAGTTATGTTTACAAGGCTCTAAAAGAGGGGCAGGAGAAAGAACAAGAAAGAAAATTTTCGTAGATATATAGCTTGATGCGTTTGGGCCAGGCAAAAGCCTGATGTTACAGAACATCATGCAAAACTGTTATTCAAAACATTCATTATTTATTTTAATTAATATAAATATCTAATTTAATTTATATATATTTCTATTAATCTCATCGGCTTCTCTAATAACTTTAATGTTTATAAAACTTAAACTAATAATTTTTATAAAATAAATATATTTATTTTAATTAATATAAATATCTATTTTAATTTATATATATTTCAACTAATCTTATCGGCTTTAAAATCTCTAATAACTCTGATATTTAAAAAATTTAAACTAATAATTTTTATAAAATAAATATAAAATATAATTAATTAAACTACAACGCTTAATACTACAAATATATTACATTATTAAACAATAGTGTTTTGGTTTATCATAAAATACTTAATTTAGTAAAGCATTCAATCTCGTGTGATATTACTGTTATACATTAGATTTTTTAAAATATTTATTTTTATAATTATTTTTAATTTTTTTCCTATGAATTTATTATAATTTCATGATTTAAATGATGAGTTTTGTATGTCATTTTTTAATATAAAGTTTTTGAGAATTATTTTGTTTGTGTTTGATTTTTCAAGATATTATTTTTTTAGGTTATATACAAATGGATTTTAGTTCTTAAAATAAAAAAAATTAATTTTTAAATAATATTGTTGATGTGTTGAGCCTTTGTATAATATTTTATTTTAGATTGTAAGTTTATTCAATCATTTTCATATATATTTATTTTTTATGTTATGAGTTTTTTAGAATATGAATTTATCTTTTATCGAGTTAAATAAACAAGTTCAGTAAATACATTTATTTTTTAATTTTTTCAATTTTTTTGGTTATTATTTATAATTTTTTTCCTGTTTATTTACATATATAATTATTAATTTATTTAATTAGTTATCTGCTTATGATTTTTTATGTAAAAATCACATTGAAACAACCTCTCTCTCTCTCTCTCTATATATATATATATATATGACAGTTTTTCTAAAAAATTATAATACATGGTAAAACACAGAGGTTAAATAGCTAATAAATCCTAAAACTTGAATCGTTACCTTTCCATATTTTATGTCAAGTCTTAATCACGTCAACTAATCTTTGCAATTTGATCTGATTTATGATTTATAATTCAAAACAAAACTACTTATTAATTGGATCTTCTATATGATTGTACTAGTAACCGTAGTTGTTAAAGCTCGTGAACTCAACAAGCTTAATAACATAATTTAGAGCTTCGCACGGGCTCAAACTTAAATTGTACAGCCAAAAAAAATATTACAGTCATCAGGTGATGGTTTTTACTCTATACATTCACCATTCATAAACTGTTGTGCTAGATTTAACAATCAATTAATTAGCTACTAGCTAGACGCTTTAAGAGAGACCCTGACGTTATGGTATCTATAATTTTTACTCCAAGGACGCTTTAATAGTAAAAAAAGAAAAAAAAATTGTATATCCAATATTTCTCTTAATTATATGTATGTATGTATGTATTTCACCTTACAATTATAGTACATTAACACTGAATTCATTTTCATATGTTATGACCACGCATGATTAAAAAAATAACAAAGCAATATCTACATGATGCTTGTATTTAACGAGTATTAATTCATACTAATAATAATTAAAAAAACTAATTATATGCAATTGCTTCGTGTGTTTAAGTACTCACAGACCACCACTCCATCTCATAATTTTTTTTAAAAACATCATTACTAGTATATAATTATATACAGCAAAGTCAGTGATAAGATGGGACATATATTAAAAGTTTTTGTTAATTTGCAAGTAAATAGATGTTTTTTCATAAGATGCCAATGACTGCATATGGATTTTATCATAATAACAAGATGATTTCAGAGGCGTTATGATTCTATTCAAGAAACAAGAAGAAGAAACAGAGAAGCATTGAATCTACCAGCACAAGCGTCAGTGAACTTGATTGCCCTTGATCATGGGGGGCTTAAAGTCGTGATTGTAATCTACCAGCACTTCTACTGTTTAGAACACACTCCATCAAGCTTGCCGGGATTTTCATACTACTCTAAAATGTAACTTTCATGTGGAGAATGTCAAGAGATAAAGATTGAATTCATGGTATTTTGGAAGTCAATGGCCTCATGGAATTTTGTATCCTCTAGGTGAAGAAAGACTGCATGCTTTGAAAGCACCGGGAGTCTAGCACCTCCTTTTCTTCTTTGATGTAGATAATTAACTACTAGTCAGCAGCATTATTGCAGTTTTCATTCCAATTTTCACGAAAATATTTATAATCCATTTTATTATAGCATCTTAATCCTAAAACTTACATCCTTTCCTTATGTTTACATGAATTGCTATGCTTATAGCTAGCAAGCATGGATTTGCAATGCACAGGTAGACCGGAAACTCATGAATTCAAATAAAATGAACTAAAAAACTCCTTTAAAATAGATACAAAAAATTCTTTTAAAATATATTCATTAAAAATATCTATTAGCCTCGGATTTGTCCAACATGCTTGGATTCACGCAAGGTATCTAGATCCATGTTTCACCTTTAATGGGTCCAAGTCCAACACTCGTGAGAGATTTTTCTAGAATTCCATGCGGGTCTTTTAATATTTTATATCAATTCAATACATATTATTTTAAGTAAAATATAATTTAAAATATCATAAATATAAAATTACATTAATAAGTTATAAACATACTATGAATCCTTCAAGTCAAAGGTTCATAGTTTCTTTATTCTCTATTATATTTATATTTTTAGATTATTTTTTCTAGAATATTATTGTATTTTTTCTCTTTATTAGTGACTTAAAAAAATCCTCATATCCATCAAAAGAAATCTTATATACGTATTAGTTAATAATCACCTGATTTATCAAACATTACTCTCATATGATATCAATTACTAATCTTTTGATTTTTTCATATGAAGTCACTAAATATCTTAATTATAAAAAATAAATTAAAAATTTTAAACTAAAAAATTTGTTAATTATTCAACATATCAACTTTATTTTTAAATATTTTGAATTTTACGACTCATAAAAAACCATTATGATTTTATTAGATGGAGCATCTGTTCAAAACAATACATACATATACATTTGGATGCATACCTGTGCTTATAGCATGCAGGAATGCAAAGGTCTGTAAGCCTAAATTAATGGAGTCTTGTACATATGGTGCTGGTCCACTCGAAGTTGATGGAGGTGGGGATGGAATATAATGAAAGGTTATGTTTACTGCGTCATAAAAGGTTATGAAATATAATGAAATGGTATAAGAGGCTAATGCATTTGGGCCATATGAACCTACAAAAGTTTGCCAATTGGGCTGAATGCTTCTGAGATTTTTTTTTAAACCCCCCCCCCCCCCCCCCCTCGCACTCTTAGAGATAATATCCCATTTAACATTTTTAAGTATTAAAAAAGTATAACTAATAACATGTTATTTATTTTGAAATTACTTTTCTCAGGATTTAAAAAAATTTAGTAATTAGAGGTATAATAAAAAACCCAAATATTTAACAATTCAACTCTTTAAAACTGAAAAATATTTTGAAACCCATCAAAATAAAAATAACGAAAATATTTTTTTGATGGAAGGAGTATCAACAAGACTTGAATTTATTTTTAATGTCCAGCAAGGTTACGGGGACAAAATTCAAAATTTGTACTCCTAACAAAATCTTCTTAATTAAAATTAAACTCAGTATTTGCTAGAACTCATCTTATTCTAGGTTGCATACCAAATTCCTCGAGCTACTTTTATCACATTTATTAAAGAAACAAGAGTAGTCTTGTTATCCGTGACAAAAAGGATTCCAGCCCTTACTAATTGGGAATATGAAGAAAATTTCTTCCACTATCTATAGGGATTTATTAATATAGCAGCAGTCAAGGAATGATTTGAGTGAGTTTTATGGGTTTCGTTTTAGGTTCCTTTTTCAACCCTTAGTTCAAGAAATTCCCTGATAAAATCAATGCTTGGACCGTGGTCCACGATTTACAATACTGGAGGTCAAGTGATTCTGGGCATGGAATATTCTGGGAAAAAAAGAGAGTGAAGTTATAATAGCCATAATCTTTGTGAAAGCAACAGAGAATTTTTATTACTAGCATACAAACCAGGATTAAATAATAATAATAATAATGGATTGTGAGTCTGAAACGACGAGAGGATCTTGGAAATTTGCAGTTCCTTGCAGCAACAACAAACACAGTCACAGACAAACCAGTTAAAACAAAACAAGGAAAAATCGAAACTTCATTGGATATGATTAGAGTTATGTACAAGGTTCAATAAATTGAAACTTAATTTTCCTCAGTTTCTTGAAAAGGAAGATTAATTTCCCTCTTTCTTTGCTTTCCTTGGTTTAAGGCTGTTAATGGAAAAGGTCTGGTTTTCTCGATTATTAATAGCTGATAAGAGTCCCTAAACTATGGACAGGTAACTCAATTGAAGAGCAATTAACAGTCTGGGAACCCAAATAAAAGTTAGGATAAATATCAATTACCAAATTCAGCAGCCCTTTGAAAATAGCATGTTCGATATTACTATCAAGCAGAAAGCACCATGTCAAAAGAGAGAAGGCTATAAGAGAAGAAACGCAAAAGGAAGATTCTTGAAATCAGGTGCCGTTCGACAAAAGAAAATAACAAAATGTGATATAGCAATGACGAAACTAAATCACATGGACAGTACGAGGTGATGTATGGGAACTACAGCACGACTATGAATCTTTTGGTGGACCTTTTTTTGCAGCTTCTGCTGCTGCTTTCTCCGCTTCAATCTCAGCAACAATTGCATCGATCTCAGCTTCTTCAAGCTGCCGCAGCCCTTGGTCTTTTGTCATCACAGCAATTTCTATGTTCTTCCCCCCACTCTCAACAACCTGATTCCAAGGAGGAACGCATAACAAAAGTAAATATAGGTAAGAAACAGGCAAGAATAATGATTTCTCAGTGACTGCTGAAAAATTGCAGGCAAACTTAAAAAATGAAAAATTAACAGAAGTTACATGTGGAATGACACAGTTTTAAGTTGCTAGCATACTCCGTTTAATTTCCACATAGAGGCACATTGAGTAGTGTTTCAACTACTGATGTTTGAGCTAAGAAATTGTTAACAACAAGAGAAGGAACACACCAAGATAGCTTATCCATTGATGACAAAGGCTTTCAGCTAAAGGAGATTGACAGGTTTCTCAGTTTCATGACCCTTGTTTGTTCTTTTTACCTTTTCTTTTCCATGTTGGATATCAATGAAGGCCAATCAATTGAAGCGATGCATAATCATATGCAAAACAGGTTACATTTCAGGCAAAGAAACATCGAAGGGCACCTGTATTAGTTGGTTAGACCAGTACCTTGACAGCAAAGCATTGAGATAACTTAGATTTGTGAATGAATTACAGCAATCTGGAGAATACCAAATATTGAATGTCCTTATATGGTCATTATTCATGTTAGCATCAGTTCCAAATACCCAAAGATATTGTATGTGTAATGGAAGGAACACATACAATCCATACATGCATGGCTACTCAAGAGATCAAGAAGTTAGCAAAATAAATACAAACAAGTTTACAGAAAAAACAAATTGCATTTCACTGTGAGGTAGATAAAGGAGAGCCTTCAGCAGCATAGACTTTTAAGCTCTCAAAACAAAATTGACAAAGGGGCAAGAGGTAAATGCAATGGCTTACAATGCATATATTTCATTAAACAAGCATACATGTTAGTGTCAAACATGTAAGAACAGCAATTCACGCATAGAGGTTGAACCAAAACCACAATATTATAAGCTGCACACCTGTTGGCTGTATAGAAAAGGCTTGTTAGCAATCCTTTCTACTAGACTTGGTTATACACCAACTATATTTGCAATGATGTTAGGACCAATTCAACCAGCATGATAGCAATCTTATGAAGTGGCAAAAGTAAATAACTTACAGTTGAATCAAATCATTATTAAACATTAATGCCAGCTATAATATGCTCTGAAAAGAACTACTCCCCAAGCACCAGTTAATGCAGCTTCAAAACACAAGTTCAATGCCAAGGAAGACTATGCATGCTCAGGCAATTTGTAACATATGCATTAAAATGCAAACCTAGATAAAAGTAAGTAACTTACTTCAAGTAAAGCACGGATTGCTAACTTCACAGTTTCTTGCCCAGAAGTTTCCTTATAGTTTTTCTCCAAAAACTCCCGCATTGAGTTCGAGTTTCTCCCGGTAGCATTGGCTTTCCATGCTGAAAATGCTCCTGAGGGATCTGTTTGGTAAAGAGCTGGGACACCCAAGTGCGGGTCAAAACCAACAATCAAGGGAAAAAGACCAAAGGGCCTCCCCCCACCACTCTGTGTATACTTCTGTTGCAAACCAGCAATGTAACGTGTTATATATTCAACAGTTACAGGATCCTCAACAGTGAGTCTATAGCTTTGACACTCGATCCGTGCCTTGTTAATCAAGACACGCGCATCAGCCTTCAATCCAGCACATACTAGTGCTACATGATCATCCAAAGATACAATCTTCTTCACTGATCTGCAAACATAACCAGCAAAAAGATTACAAAGACAAGACACTTAAAAAGATTACAAATAATCAGATTGAACACAAAACAAGACACTAGATATCATTACAAAGACATTACAAATCAGTCCAAAATCACACAGACCCCTAATCAACAACAGCAAGAACAACAATCTTCACATCATAAATAAGCTCTACACACCAATATAAACCAAAATACAACAGGACTATTCAAAATCAGACCATATTCCACAGCGCTGCTACAGAAAATAAAAGATTTTAAGTGAAAAGACTTACTCATGTTAATTAACTAAAAATCGACATTTATTTCAAAAAAATTATAATACCAAATTCAAATTCATCAACGGAGAAGCAAAATAACTTCTTTTGACAATCCTCATTCAATACACATATGAACTAATCAGGTCATTATCAGTTCAAACACCACAAAACCATGCCAAATCACAGTAGATACAAGTAAGCAACGCCAATTAAAATCCAGTCACATTCAACAATCACGATTAAACCAGAAATCAATTACTAACCCTAAACCTCAATTTCCCCCCCAAAAAATAAAAAATCTCGCCTTTTCACCACGAACGTAAAATACAAACAAAATCAAGAAGAACCCAGAATTTTAAAATAAATAAAGAGTAAAATTACCTAGAATCTTGAAGTTTAGCTGTGGATTTCTTTTCAACACCAAGAACGACAATATCAGTACCACGAACACCAACCGCCGCATTTCCTTTACGGACAGCTTCAAGAGCGTATTCCACTTGAAATAAATGTCCATCCGGTGAAAACACTGTGATTGCACGATCGTATCGAGCCATGGCTACTCTTCAGTTTTCTCTTGTTTTTGCTTTGCCCTGTTGCAGTGCGGGTCTTGCTTTGCCTTGCTTTTTTTCAGTGAGATCTGTGGGGTGTTTTTTAATAGAGGAAGCTAAAATTCGCACAAGTGAACATCAAAGATCACTTACAACGATGTTGTTTTTGCAACTTTATTCTATTTTTGGGCTTCATACCCAATTGTTATTTATGTTTATGGGCCATTTGTTTTTGCTGGGTCCAAATCGTTGCACTATGTTGGGCTTTGTTATTTTATTGATTTATTTAAACAACTTCAAATCAGATTAATTATTCGTGAAAATGGGGTTTATTGCTAGTTGTTAACTTGTTATGATGAATTTTGCTCTTTTATATAATTAGGGGAATAATAGATTGAGATATTTCTTCTTTAAGTTGGTGAATGAGTGTACCAAATTATTTAATAAATTTCTTAAATTTTCATGGATTTTGTTGGATTTAATTAAAAACCATTCCTGAGTTGATTACTTTTTTTTTTAATAAAAAAAACCGTCAAATCCCTAATTATTTTCAATTTGAATTACTTTTTTTTTTTAAATAGTCAAATCCCTAATTATTTTCAATTTGCTTATGATGTATCCAAATCCCTAACTTTTCTTTTCCTCATTCAACGCCAGTCTACCTCTGCCGAGCGTGTTAAGTGTGTCCATATCCTTATTGCCTCTTTGAAGATGCTTGATGGGAAGGAGAATGATAGGGTTGGTGTAAATGAGTAAATACTTTTTTTTATATTTTTAAAAATAAAAAAATATTATTTTAATAAATTGTTCTTGAAAATATTTTAAGATAGAACATGTAAACTTAGCTACGTGTATCTATCTGTATGGGCACTAACTACCAAGTAAAGTAGGGTTGAAAAAACTAATTGATAACTTGAAAGAACGAGTGCATTTTGAGAGGAGGCAGCAACAACATGTGTTACCCGCACGCAACTAATAATTAAATGTTTTCTATTTGTTCTAAAGAATTTAGTCACCTAAAATGGCCAACATTTCCTCTTCCATCCTCCTTTATGTTAGATTGTGCAAATCAAATTTCACAATGTTTTTAAAATGTTTATTATTTTAAAATATATTAAAATATTTTTTTATTTTTTTAAAATAATGTTTTTTAAGAAAGTATATCTTAAACATAAAAACAAACCGGTCTGTCTTATCAAAGATAAAAACCGGGAGGTGGAGATAGTGGGAAGAGGGTGAGCAAGCACTGTCTCCAATCAAAGCACATATGTATAAAAGATGGCTCCACGGAGATGTCTAGTCGTGGACACAGAAGAAGACTCCAACGTCCATAGGAACAAAACTCATCAATGGCTCTGCTCAAATGCCTACATAAAGACGAGGATAGTGCCCTTTATTGGGCAATGCCACTTTAATCAAAATTGCCATCCACTAAGAGGAAAGAAACAAAATAAACTATTCTTTTAGATGGTTTCGTGCTTCACATTCTGCCCGCTGCAACGTCCATGAAGGTCCTTCCAAATGATAATAAATGATATTATTTGGGTAGTTAATTGTAATCATTGGAGACCGTATCTCTTAAACTATGCCATTTATTTTTTATTTAAATGCTTTGCATCTTATCCAATTTATAATTAGAAAGATAAAAGTACTTGACAAGGAATATATATATATATATATATATAAAGGGTGTTAAAGAATGCAGCGGTAATTGTTTTTTAAAATTTATAAAAATTATTAAAAATCATAATTTTAAAGGTGTTCTCTCAAATGGTTCTAAAAAAATATATATATATATATATATATCATCACATCTAAATAAAAAATAAAATTTAAGATACCAATGAGATTAGTCAAATATAGACGTGTTTACTTTATTAAAAGAATCATCCATCAAATCCAAAATCTTGTAATCGAGTCCTTTTCTTATCATCAAATCCAGCGTTTCAAAAGCAATATGTCCTTATGTTTCTGCCGTGAACAAATTAGATTCCCTCTTCAGTATATGAATTTCAGACAATTATACTTAGAAAAAACGATTAGTCTATTTCTTACAATTATTGTTTACAAGCTCATGAGAATGTCAAGAGGAGGAGGAGGAGGAGGAGGTAACGGATGGCCATGTATCGCCTTGGAAATAATCCAAGAATTAGATCTAGAACTCAAACGTTAAATCATAAATCCTTAAGAACTCCGACAATCATTTGACGAACTATACTGTTTATTTATTTCAGAAAGTCATTTGATAACTAGTGCTAGCTAGCCTCGATATTAGAACTCACCTTCCTAAGATAAGAACTCACTTTTATATATATATAGAAACATTTAGCAAACTACTACAAAAAAAGCTAGCATATGACATGCTGGTGATCATCCTGACAGTAAAACCTATTGAACTGGTGCCTCCTTGCATTCTGCTGATGGCACAAGCAATTGTGAGATAGAGAGACCAATATGCACTTTAACCCAACTTTTTTTTTTTTCAATTGGTAATTATAGCAATTGTATACTTATCAGCATCCAGGCCACATCAGCTTGACTGTAAAATTATAATCTTCATCTAGTTGTTTTAATCTCGTTTCAGTGTTTTGTTCATCTATTTAGACACATTCCCAGGTTTTTCCTCTACCTAGTAATGCAAGAATATTTACTGTATATATATATATATATATATAGAATAATATTATATTATTCTTTAAAATATTATTTTAAGTGAAATTCTTACACTTCAAACTTAAATAAGGTGATGAGAATTTATATATCTATTCTTAATAGTCTTAAGAAACTGTTATGATTTTTTTTTAGGTATATCGAATAGTCTTAGAAAACTGTTATGATTTTTTTTTAGGTATATCTAAAAAATTAAATATTTTAAGTGAGAACTTGTCGAATGACAACTAGATCTAAACATGATTAAATTTGGTGGCATGTCAAACCTAACACTAAGGTAACATGAATCTTGCATATATATATCAGTTCCAAAATATTTGAACTTAATAGCCTATCAAGTCTAAGATGATGAATGACTAATTTCGGGAAATAACTCAGCTTTTATAAATTTAACTATATTTAATGTTTTAAACTCTAATCTTCATATACCTTTTTAAATATATAAAAATCTTTTAAAAACTCATCATATTCTCATTTAACATTAATATAGATATAAGAGATATTTATTCATTATTAAATAATATAAAAGTAATTACATTACATATTTTTTTTATTATAAAAAGGCTTATGAGCTATAAATAAATAATAAGACCTTCAGAATAAAGGTTTACAATCTTCATTATTTACTGTATATATATTTTTATATCATATTTTTTTAGAATAATTTTGTATTTTTCTTTCTAAAAGTTATTTTTTTAAACATCGGAGAATCTATGCCTCCAACAAAAAGCATCTTTTATAGATATTAGTCACGAACAGTTTTGGCCTATGAAGAACTGGTATAAACTATCAATTTTTTTGGCTCAGGAGAATGGAGGAGATTGTTAAGATTAATTGATTAACTGATTGTCCAACTCGGAAGCCCTATTCCCAAATTAGTTGGAGTGTTGAGCATCATCTAAAGACTCACGAGAATGGAGGAGATTGTTAAGATTAACTGATTGTACAACCCGGAAGCCCTATTCCCAGATTAGTTGGAGTGTTGAGCATCATCTAAAGTGTTTGCTCGTGTAGATTTAGATATAATATCAAAAAATTATTTCAATTAAAAAACTTAATATGTTAAGATATTAAATGAAGTTTCAAGAATGATTTTATGCATATGTAAACAACTCTATTAAAACTGCTTTGCCACCTTGCCAATGCTTGAATTGGAGTGGATATGCTTAGCTTTTTATTGATGCTTACAGATCTTTTCTTAATGTTTAAGGTCTTATTCTGCCTTCTCATGATGTCATACATAACTCACAGTATGCTTGGAGGCAGCAGAGGTTGGTATTTACAAAAGTTGTAGCGGCAGAGGCTATGTGAAACTAGTAATCACTATTAGTGTATTTATAGTACTGTTTCTATCTTGATTCAAATTTGATGGGACATTTTTGAACATGCACTAAGAAGGTGAGCGTGTTCCATGATTCTTCACGACGCGTGTGGCACCACTTTTGATCCCAGTATAGTTTCTGTTCACGTCATTATTCTGTTTTATAAAGCCTAACTCTCTCCGTATTTTGTACCACCAATCACCCTCCTTCTAGCTCTCTCTGCCTTATTTTCCTACCATATCATATTTTGAAACACCTTTCTCTATTTGCAACAATCCTTCTAATCCCTTTCTTTCTTTCTCCGTTTCTGTTTTTTAGAACCATGTTGCCTAGGAGTCGAACTATGCCTAGCAGAATCCACCATGGAGTGGTATGTTGTGATCAAAATGAGATGTACACTTTAATTCTTCTTTAGAAATACTAATATCTTGCCTTCTTTTTACTTCATGGGTGTCCATCAATGTTTCAGGTAGATGAAAGGCATGATATCAGGCACTACTTAGAGGTGGAAGTCCAGCCTAAAGTTAGTGAGAGCGAAGCTATCAACCCTCAATCCAATTACTCAAAGTGCTTTGATGATGATGGTCGCTTGAAAAGAACAGGTAACCATTGTCTTGAATATCAAACTATTGTTTGTGAATTTGGATGGTTTTCTTACTCTTTGGGCGCTTTAGTTAATTTCGTTTAGTAAAGGTTAAAAATTCGATGGTGCAGGAAATTTCTGGACTTCATCTTCCCATATAATCACTGCTGTTATAGGGTCAGGAGTCCTATCATTGGCTTGGGCCATAGCGCAGCTGGGTTGGGTTGCAGGACCAGCTGTTATGGTCCTATTTGCATTTGTAAATCTCTACACTTCGAATCTACTAGCACAGTGCTACAGGTCTGGCGACCCTGTCACGGGACAGAGAAATTACACCTACATGGATGCTGTGAAATCTTACTTGGGTAAGAATAAACTCCCATCATTTTCAGCTGGCTAAATTGTCATTATAATCATGAGCATGATGTGAAAATATCTATGTGTCGGCTGCAGGAGGACGGAAGGTGATGTTATGTGGATTGATTCAATACTTAAATTTGTTTGGTGTTGCTATTGGTTATACGATTGCAGCATCAGTCAGCATGATGTGAGTTTCATATTGTTTTCTACTTGTAATGAACGTTAAATCACGTACACAATAACCATTGATATTTGAAATATTTTTCTGTTGATTTTAGGGCAATAAAGAGATCAAACTGTTTCCATAGCAGTGGAGGAAAAGATCCATGTCATATGTCATGCAATGGGTTTATGATAACATTTGGAATCATAGAGATCTTATTTTCTCAGATACCAGACTTTGATCAAGTATGGTGGCTTTCTATAGTGGCTGCTATAATGTCTTTCACATATTCTACAGTTGGTTTGGGTCTTGGTATAGGCAAAGTTGCAGGTATACAAAAATAATTACATCATTGTGATTCTGATTATCTCATTATTCATTATTTACAGAAACAGAACAAATCTAGAAATTACTTCAGCAGCAAAGATATTAAATGGAAGGACTTAGCACAAACATAGGAAGTTGAGTCGTGTGTTTAATGAAGTTCAAAGAATACCTCTGCACTCTCATTTGCAGGAAATGGAACCTTCAAAGGAAGCCTGACTGGTATCAGTATAGGGACGGAAACACATGCTGGACCAGTTACTTCTACACAGAAACTATGGAGAAGTTTGCAAGCTCTTGGAGCCATAGCCTTTGCTTACTCGTTCTCCGTTATCCTCATCGAGATTCAGGTAATACTTTGACAGCATTTTATGGAACAGTCATTGAGGGAAAATTTAGTAGTCCAGCAATTGATACCTGTGCTTGCCTTTTCATTTGCAGGATACAATAAGATCTCCACCTGCAGAATACAAAACTATGAAGAAAGCAACTTTATTTAGCATCATTACAACTACAATTTTCTACTTACTCTGTGGATGCATGGGCTATGCAGCTTTTGGTGATTTGGCCCCTGGAAATCTTTTGACTGGCTTTGGATTCTACAACCCCTACTGGCTTTTAGACATCGCTAATGTTGCGATCTTTGTTCATCTTGTTGGTGCATATCAGGTCTGGTATTTCAAGCAATGATAGCCTTACAACTTCTGAATTAATAACAAGATTCGAGTTTCATGTTGATTTTTCCATGGTGTTCCTGCAGGTCTATTGCCAGCCATTGTTTGCATTTGTAGAAAAATGGAGTGCTCGGAAGTGGCCTCAGAGCAATTTTGTGACAGCAGAATATGAGGTACCCATCCCCTTTTATGGTGTGTACCAGCTGAACTTCTTCCGGCTAGTATGGAGAACAATATTTGTTATGCTGACAACTTTAATAGCCATGCTCATGCCCTTCTTCAATGATGTTGTTGGACTTCTTGGTGCCCTGGGATTCTGGCCATTGACAGTTTTCTTTCCCATTGAGATGTACATTTCTCAGAAGAAGATTGGGCGATGGACAAACCAGTGGATAGGGCTCCAGATTCTCAGCATGACTTGCCTCGTGATCACCATAGCCGCAGCTGTTGGGTCTGTTGCCGGGGTTGTCTTGGATCTCAAAACTTACAGGCCATTTAAAACTAGTTACTGAGAGAGCTATGGATCGGGAGTCCGCATTTCAAGAAGGGAATTCCTCAAGTTGTGTTAATAAGTATATAAATTGAAGAACTTGAGAGTCATGCATGGACTGAAATGTATCCTTCTTAAGAGTCATGCATGGACTGAAATGTATCCTTTTCAATCTCCAAAAAATTTAAGACAGATTTCCTTTTGTCAGCCATCAATACACATCTTATTCCGTGCAGGTGCTATGTCAGGTGCTTAAATGCAGATTCAAGGAACTCTTGTTTGATCAAAATACGCTTTAAGCCTGAACCCTTGTTCAACTTCATGCTATCCTCAAAAGATGTACTAGCTGAAGCAATCAGGCTATCGCACAACATTAAATATGTAAGAGAAACCATCGCTAAGATTCAGGTAAAAGAAACGAAGAAGACACAAACTCGATTCCTTGAATCATCCATTAGATAAGTGAACAAAATCAAACATACAACTACAGATTTGCATTCCCTGACAAACTACCGAAGAATCCCTTGCCTTAAGGAATTCAACAGGCCAAAAGAAGCCTCATGGTACTTCCTAACCCTTGTTCCCATAAACAGATTAAAAAAATAAAATAAAATAAAACCTAACAAGACCAGTTGACTTTAGTAATAAAATAAAATAAAACCTAACAAGACCAGTTGGCTTTAGTCTTTACTTGTTGTATTTACTAGCCTTCATTTTAGCCGCATTTGCCTTCGCAGTATCTTTTACAAGAGTTGTTGCTTTGAAGAAACTCTTTGGATTAAGAGCCTTTCTTATCTTAAACACAACCCAAGCAGTGCCAATAGCATGTCCTGCAGCATCAAGTCCTTCGTGTGTTACCTTTGCAGCATCTTCTCCGTATCTGTAAAGGAAATACCCAATCATAACATCAGATGCGTACTCGGGTAGAAGCACAGAAAGTACACTATTCGATTCAGACTATATCTCATCTAAAATCTACTCCAGCTCTATCCAGCCAAAGCACATTCACGAACTGTAGTGTTCTAACACTATGTCAATGCAAGATGCAAAGCAGCAAAAGATTGAGGTAAGATTCTGTATATGCCACTGGTGGCCAGATACCTAAAGCAACTGGAAACCTCATAGAAACATAAATATTCCATTACAGAGGAACAGAATCGCCACAAATTTTAATTCCAACTTGCCAGCAACGGTATAATTATTTGAATGAAAGCAATGGAAGGGATGATAAAGTTGATCGTGATAAGGATGATTCAAGTGGAGCGTCAATTTAAGATTTAGATTGAGATATACCTGTGTGAGACAACTCCAGTTGTGACAAGTGATGAGGTTGACAAGACATTCTTTCCAGCAACTTCAATAGCATCACACACCTTGACTGCACAAGCACACGAAACACGAGGAGGAAACAGTATTGCGAGTTAGATTTCAGTTTAGCAACCACACAAATTGAGAAAAAATAAACCAAACAATTGGGAATGAATCACTTACTAAATCCATCCAAGGAAGCAAGAATAACTTCACCAGGCAATAGGCTAAAAAATTTCTTGCCCGCTTTAGAGTTCACAATTGGACTTGTAACAGATCCAGAGACTTTGACTACCCCCGAAAGAATCCCAACAGCCGTTTTCTCTGACATTTTTGTCAACTTCTTTACCCTGCAAATATCCCAAGATAAAATCATATTTCAGTTCATACTGCTCGATATTGAGTCACCCAAATCAAAGGAAACAAGCATATTAAAAATTATTTTTACATCTTTAAAATGCAGAGATGAACACAAATATGCATAGCAAAGCAACTCCAAAATTCAAAGAACATGCTTCTTTTGCTTTAACCATACCACTTCCACGAACAAAGAATAATAAGAACAGCCTATCCTAATAATCAATTTTCTTAAATAAATAGCAAAACTAGATGGCTAAATGTGCAAAAAATAGAATTGAAACCTTTAAAATCAGAAATTAAATCAATAATCAACGTTGAAAAACAAACCTTTTGATCCTCCTCAAAGTCCCTGGACTAATATCTGAATCCTTACCCTTACGAATCCTTTTCTTGAGGAACCCATCGCCCCACTTCAACCTATCCACTGTCACATCTCCACACCACAAAATCCCCCTAATCAGCTGCCCTGACCCGGCCGCAATCGTCCTTGCAATACACGAGCTATAATCCTCCACATTAGGAGCCAACACTGTCCAATACGCAGAAGAACTCTTCTCCATCAATTCTTTATTCTTCTCTAACTCATCCGGCGATATCTCCTTCGCTACATTCCAATCAATTACCTCCGACTTCCCTCCACTCTTCTTCACTTCTTGCACCGAAAACAAACTATAACATTCCAATATCTTATCGAACTCCTTCAACAAGCCCTTTTGGCCTTTCGAAGCAAAAGTTACCCCATAATTCAACAACTCAACCTCTCCCTTATTTAACTGACCCCCGTACGATTCATTTTCAGGCACACGAAGAGTAAAGAAGTAATGTGATTCATCAAGCTTAACTGCTGCCTCATCTCTAGCTAAAGGCCACCGAATATCATCATCTACACGAGCAAAAACAGCAACAGTGGTTTCACCCTGTTTAAGACTCACAATAAAGAAGTCACCACAAGCCAATTCTACACTACGATCTTTCTCAATTAAATGAACGATTGATCCTGGGATTTTGATCAAGATTTCTTCATGGGCTTCGGAGTTTGAACCCAGTGGTGAAACTGCCTCGTTCTTCTTGTTGTCCGCCACGTCTTTCATGTCAATAGTAGGATACAAAGAGGACGACGTAGAAGTAGACGTGGCTTCTGGGTTTGAGAGAATGACTTGCGGGTAGCGAGAATTGCGCTTTAGAGATACATTCGGTAAGAAAGATTTTTAGGAGGAGACAGGGAGTGAGGAATGTCAGGTTGGTGTGGGGATTTTAAAGGCTTCTGTGATCTTAAGATCGAAGGAAGTAGAAGCCGTGTCGATTGTGAGCTTGGAGGAACAAAACAAGACAGATACGTGGCTTGCTGAGGAGCTGGCCGTGTGAAACCGTATCTTGTCGGCAGTCAGTTTTTATTTAAGATGACGGCCTGATTGCTTGACAGGTGCTTTGTAATCGTATCTTAAGAGATTTGTCTCAAAAAATCATGCTCGTTCACTTGGATATTTATTTTGAGTTTGGTTATAGATAATACAGGATTTAATTCATAAATATTCATTTCATTGTTTCTGTAATATTTATGTAATAGAACCCAGTAATGGTTGTTTTCAAAGCAGGTTTAGTAATGTGATGTATAATATTTTGAATTGATTTTATTCAAAGATGTGATGTATAATATTTTGAATTGATTTTTTAATTTTTAATTTTCAATATTAATATATTAAAATTATTAAAAAAAATACTAAAAGATATCTCTTATTATTATTGAATAAAACAAAACTAACTATTAAAACACCAACTTTTATCTCTCAACATTTCTACTTTATTCCTGCGTTTCCATCTACTATGATCATGCTATATGCTAATCTTTTCCAATATTGCTAAAAAAAAATGTAACATCTAAGGCATCCAAATTAGCCGCCTTAACCAGATATTCTTCTATAGAATATCTATTAAATGGATTTCAAGAATATTTTTAAATTGTTAGCATAATATCCATAGTGATTTTGCTTTTTTATTCTTTACATTATTATTTTTATTTTAAATTTAAATCTAAAAAGATCTCGAGCATAATAAAACATGTATGTATCAAGCGTGTATATATATATGTGTTCATATATATATATAACTTTAAAAGAAATTTATCAACATATTCAAACATGTATCTATCAAGCGTGTATGCATATGTGTGTCTATATATATATAACTTTAAAAGAAATTTATGAAAAATTGGAACTTGAAAGATCTTATCTTTTTATATAGAAATTAACTGAGAAATATTCTCAAAATCAAAATCGAAAAAAAAAAGAATTTTTGTATTTCAAGGCCTTCTCACAAAAACTCCCTCCAATTTTGGGGCATAAATTGGGTTCACGCTGTTCAATCGCGCAACAAGAAAGAGTTGGTCTGGGCTCTATCAATAGCTACTGGGCTATGTTAGCCTAAAACCCATGTAATCCATCTAATGCCTTCCATAAGCCCATAAAGAAAAGTCTGGATCTTGGCTCAAGACCAGAGTATTTATCACTAGAGTAACGGCAATAACTGTTTAAAGCTCCACACACCGCAGCCTTACAGTTGAAGGTAAGCGATTCTTAGAAATTACATGACTCACAAGCAAATTCAGAGAGGATTTGTTATTTTTCATCTCAATACCTTCTCTTATTCAGGCGAACGTCAATGTTTTAGCATTACGTCATTACACTATTCAAAACTCTTGATCTCTTCTGGTCATGTAGAATTTCATGGGGAACTGTTTGATTCTCAAAGAAAGACAATTTCGTGTTCCATTGCAGTTCCTGGGTATGCGTTTCGCCAAAATTCCATGAGTTCATTTTACCAAATGTGAAAAACGGGTCTGGCTACCAATTCTATGTTTAGCTGGAGTGCTTGTTAGCACCGAAGGCTTTTATGACCTGGTGCGTATAAAGTGTGTCCATGAATTGAAGAATCCGGGTTTGGTTTCTTGGGAATGCTATTATAAATGGTTACGGGATCAATGTCCAGGGAGAGTTTTTTCTCTCTGCCATGAGATGTGGAATTGTGGGGAAGATCCTGATAGTGCATCGTAATCGTGCATTTTGATTGCTTGTAATCATGCAGAGTTGGTTTAAGGATGTAATGGTGATATTTAGCCAGATAATGAAAGATAATAAAACAAGGCCAAGCTAAGATCCTTATGAGTGTGTCGTTGACATGCTAATGAGGTCAGGCTATTTATCTGATACAGGTGGATTTAATAAAAAAAAATTAGAGGAGAAGGGTCCAAATATCTGTACCTCCTGCTTGTCAATAAGCTACAGTAAGCTGATTTTTAACTTCACTCGGAAAAAACAAACCAATCCGCTGGCCTGGTCGATCCATGAACTGCTGAGAATTTGAGATTGAGCACGCAGAGGAAGGGGTTCACTTCCTAAATGTGATTCCACATGACTGTAGTCATTTGGTATTCTGTGAAGAATATTTTGGAAGGCTGTCTGTATATGACTCGGAATTTGATAGCTCTGCAAATGGTCACAGAAAATTTGGATTGACAGGAATGCCTCCAGGTTGTCCGGGGATGGATGTATATTCCATGAAATGAGTCATGGCTGATCTGTCTTCTTCAAATAACTCCTTGCACAGACTTATTAGATGCTGCGATTGCCCCTATTTCTTGCGTTTGCATTGGTAACTAATGCCATTGAGCATTAAATATGAACTGATGATTTGAATGCCTCTCCCAGGATGGATGGAATATTTAATGGAACAAATTGTTTCATGTCCATCCCGTTTCAAATTACTCCTTGCAAAGACGCGGGTGTTGCAAAGTCCACATCTCAGCCCTTTTTAATTGAATTGGTAACTAGTCCCACCTTGTCCTCTTCCACATTTTCTGTCGATGCTATATGAAACATTTTCTTGTGTTTGAAGATTTAACATCCTATTTCATTGAGAGAATTAAGTTGCTTCTTTCCTAAATTGACCTGTCTTGTGCATATGCGTACTGCGTACATGTGTAGCAAAAGATGCAAAATGCCATTGAGGTTAGTGGATTAACCTACCTTTGTATTGTATTTGTCATCACTGTTTGTGAGAGAAAACCCTTTTATATGATCTCCCATTCAAGAATGAAAACCATGTCTTGTATATTTGCAGAAGCTTATGTTCTTGCTGTTCTTCCTTGTTTTTTCCCTTGTCACGAATAAAACTGTATTCATAATGAAAAAAAAGCTTCTTTAGCTTTAATCTTATCCTTCATGAATGGAGGACTTAGCAAATGAAGCATACGGTCAGGGGTGATGCATGAAAATGTAAATCAAGGCACTGTGAGTTGTTGAATATTCGTTTCAGATAATAAGACAAAAATCGTATCAATTAAATAATCCTATTAATTTGTTTACGCCACATGTAATCTGAGCTATAGGATTCCGGCCCACTCAACCCTCACATCCCGAAGAGTCAATTTTTTAGGCAGCTGAGATGATTCTACGGGATTGTTACAAACCACAAAGACGTAGTGGTTCCAAAAACATTTCATTAAGAACTATATTTACACATTGCTTTCCCACTTCAAAGCCAAGAATCCAAGCTGAATTTAGGGGGTAAGATCTTGTTGAAAGCTAGCTTGGTTTCAAGTTCACAGGGCCTACTTCAGTCCCAGGATCCATATAATCTAGTCGGGAAAAAGTAAACAATTACAGGTCATTTGCAATGGATTCCTGACTGAGTTTGCGTGGACAAGGTGCACTTCTCGCTTCTTTATTCATTGGTTTGATCTAGATAGGTGTATTTTATCTGATAAAGTGCCTGCTTTAGTTTCCGATTCTCTTACGAAGCTTTGAAAATAATACACAATTGTCGGCATGGTTCATTAATAAACTGGAACCATGGGTTTAATTGTGGTTGGAAAATTGCTCACAATATTCAAAAGAAAAGCTCTCTGACTAAGGTTTGAAGCAAAAAAAAAAAAAAAATGGCAAACAAATCTTTCACTTATGAATTACTTTATTTAGTTATATTAAAAAATTATTTTAACTCATTAACTTAAACTATTTAATAAAATCTAAAATATAATTTATATTTTTTTAATATATCCGTTCAAATAAAAAAAATTTAGACTGAAATTTATAAAGACCTACGTTACTTTCTATTTATTTTTTATCAAATAAATAAAAATAATAATATTTAAACTCATAATAATTTAACCATTAAAATTTTAAAATCATGTTAAAGAAACATTAATTTAATAATTTAAATTATTATATAAAATTTTAAAATATAATTTATACTATTTTTTAATAACTTCAAAGATTAGACTATGCTTTCTTGGAGCTGCAACAAGCTTGCATCCCCATCAAATATGATGAATATTATCCATACACATGCATGAAAAAGTCGAGTTATTTCCTTGGTACAAATGGCCAGCCCACGATGTCTGCTATATGGCTAAGTGGTAGGAGCAGATTCGGTTAATGTGATCCACCAGTTTCATACCACTGTTCCTTTCAGTGCTTACAGAAAGGCCACTTTCCATCACAAGAACATCATCCACGTTCTTACAATCAATGCATGAAATGTAACAATAGGTAAAATGGGGCCTCTTTCTGGGACTTATATAGGTGATATAAATTAGGTTAAAAGCACAGATGATCGATCTCTGTCAGGCCCTACCATCTCCATCAACCAGCCAGTTTCCCCTCTGATAAATCATCCATCGAGACCAATACAATTTTGGCGACCACCATTTCCAGAAGATAGACATCTAAGGAAAGAAAAGGGAGAAATAAATGAAGAGAAAACATTTATGGTCTTGGAATACAGTAGCCAACCTCAATCTCATGAATATTCTTATGCAACAGATACATCTCCTTCCTCTGTTGCAGGGTTTTCAAAGGGCAGTAGAAACCCCATTTTAAGATTATAAAATACATGATTCCAATAAGTTATAACAATTATTTTTTAAATTTATTTTTTATAATAATATTTTTTATTTTTTAAAATTAATAAATCATTAAAGCTAAAGCATTTGGAATATTGTCACTGATCATCCACCTTTGAGAAGAATATCTGGTGGGTAACCATTCCGCATTTAAGGCAGTGAAAGCGAGAAACAGCTAGATTTCCCTGTAATAGCAGACCAGCCGTATTTTCTATAAGACATTTTGTTTCACAAGAGTTAATAATCCAAGCATGCATAAGCTTCCAAAAATTTTGTCCACACGCTTTTAGGGTTTGTTTGATATTGTGTTAGTAGTTATGATTTAAAATATTTTTTATTTAAAAATATATTTAAATAATATTTTTTATTTTAAAAAAATTATTTTTCATATTAAAAAATTAAAAAATAATTTCTTTTAAAAAAATTAGAATTTAAAAAACCGGTGCAAACCGCATTTCCAATAACTAAAAAAATGTTTCAAACAGACAAAAAATGCAGACAGTTGCTTCCTGGACAACCTATTGACTTTTTGACTTGTGTTGTTCAATAAAAAGCTTTAATAAAGCCAATATCAGTGCCGCAATCTAATGAAGAGGTGTTTGTTTGCAGCTGAAGTTCAACTATAGTTTCGTAGAATTTTTTTTTATGTTTTTGTATTGATTTGATATGTTATTATTAAAAATAAATTTTAAAAAATAAAATAATTATTATTTTATTATATTTACAATCAATTTTTTTTGTTTTAAATAACATTTCAAACATCCCCATCAAAATAATAACATCTAATTACTGTCTTGATGTAAGATATATGAAAGATAGAGACCACCAAACAAACTAGTAATGTTTAATTATTTTCTTGATACATGAAGATATGAAACTTAGAGATAATGAAGACTGAAGGAATATATCATTCTATATCTTCAATTTTAACATTATATAAATTTATTTTAAAGGCATAAAGTTAAAATATGTTTCCCATTAAAAAAATAAAAACCATAGAGAAAATCACTTCAAAACTATTATAAATTATATCTTTATTCCTGTCTCTCTAACCAAACGGTTCCTATCATTTCTATATATATTGCAGGACACAAAAAATACTTCAGAAATCACCGGATTGGCAAATTTTTCTAGGCAACGGTCAACCTTAGGAATAAATACCCAGCATCCTTCCTCGATTCCACTATTTAGCTATGCAAATCACGTTGCGATAACGATTAAAAATTATTATTTTATTTTTAAAAATTTATTTTTTGTTACAACCCATCAAAACAATCTAAAAATAAAAAGTTCCAACCCATCAAAACAATCTAAAAATAAAAAAAATAATAATTTTATTAAAAAACAATTTTTATAAAAACAAACAGTCATCAAAAGCATCAAACTGACTATTATCTATTAAACTATTGCTTATATAAACTTGTCAAGTTTATACATACAACATTACATGAAAGATATAATTTAACAAAGAAAAAAGGTTCAAAAAAAGAAAAGAACACACACCAGCCACCCCCTGTAAACAAGTTCTTGGCCGTGGTCCTAACATGGCAGCCACACTCTTATGCGTAGCAAATTCTACACTTAAGCTGCCTTCCACTCTCTATTGCTACATAAGCAGTGAGCACGTGCTTAACCACCTACCAATCAACATTATCGATCAAAAAGAGATGATCGGATTGGAAGTAGCAGGCTTACAAGGGATCTATCTGGGCCACCACAATGGGACTCCTAACAACGTGCTTCCCATCCGACCACGCAATTGACCCGAATACAGCACCCGAATCACCCATGATCAGATTCCGGGCATTGGCTGTTATGGTTACAATGAAGCTCCGCTTCTTCACGGCCTCAGTGAACATCAATTTTCGTGGTTTCACTGCCACTGTAACTCCTTTCGGAGCTTGGATTGTAAAACGATAAACGGCATTTGGTTGACCCACATTGGTGACTGTTCTAATGAATGTCTTGCTTGATGCTCCCTTAGCTGAGCTTGAAAACAGTGCTGCAAGAGAAGGGTAATGGAGGTTCTCGGGCAATGGTTTCTTCACTGGACAACTCACAGGTGATCGTGTGATCACCTGAATTACTCTTGGCCCATATCCAATTCCACACAAAAAGTTCACATAATCATTGTTTGTAATATCATAAACAAGACCTGGATCCATTGCTCGATCAAGATTGAGATGTCCTGCGCCCAAATCATATGGTGACGACCCCTTTCCAGTGGCCTCATCGGTCATTGGCTGGTTTAGATTATTGAATGTATTCGCGGTAGTCATCATTGCAGACCTAATCGCTGCTGGACTCCAATGTGGGTGAGCAGATTTAAGCAAGGCTGCCGCGCCACTTACATGAGGACATGCCATTGAAGTGCCAGAAAGGATGTTGAATTCAGTTTTTCGTGGATCTGATTCCAATCCAGTTGGACCAGCAGCATCAGTCCAGGCAGCAAGAATGTTCACACCGGGAGCAATCAAATCCGGCTTAAGAATCTCCGGGCTTATTCCATTTGGTCCTCTACCTGAAAACGAAGCAACAACTGGAGCTGGTTTGATTCCAATCACGGTACCCTTGAAAGCAATAGTAGCAACCGGATTCGACGTTGATGAAACATAGGCCTTAACAGCATCACCCTCGTCAGAACCAAGAGCACAAGCAGGAATTAAATGAGCATCACCAACTAATCCTTCACCATTAGAAACTCCATTAGCAAGAATCATACCAACACCTCCAGCTTTCTTAACAACCAACCCTTTAGCCACTCTTGGACTACTTCCGCGATCACAAACAACAATTTTCCCTCTCACCATCTTAGGATCCAACGAATTTTCCATACACAGTGACGCTGCCAAAACCCCTGATTTCCCTGGATAAACCAGAGGATACATTCTACCACTCAAGGGCAAACCAGCATATAGCGAAACACCAGATAATTTCTTCCCATTACCAAGAACAACAACAGCAGGGAAACTCCTGTCAATTGTTCCAGCACCAACAGTAACAATCCAAGGAGCAAGATTCGTAACTGACATAAAATTAGGCCCATCATTCCCAGCCGAAGACGAAACAAAAACCCCTCTAGAAGCCGCCCCATAAGCACCAATGGCAATCGGATCAAGATAATAAGGCGCCGAGATCCCACTACCACCACCAATGGAAATCGAGATGACATCAACTCCATCTTTAACAGCAGTATCAAAAGCAGCTAAAATATCAGAATCAAAACATCCTGCATTCTTCCAGCAAACTTTATACACAGCCAAACGTGCTTTCGGAGCCACCCCTTTTGCAATCCCCGCTGCAAAACCTTCCATGCTAGCACGAAACGCATGCCTTCCTGCCGCAGTTGATGCCGTGTGAGTCCCATGACCATCGGCATCACGCGGAGACTTAAACTCCAGAGTTTCATTGATAGGACTAATCGGTCCCATAGCCCCACCTACTGCCTCATGTCCTTTGATAAAAAAACGAGCACCGATCAGCTTCTTGTTGCAGTTTCTTGCTGTAAATCTTTCGCCAACTTCACAAACTCCTTTCCACCGGCCAGGAACCGGCCCAAGATTGACATCCGAGAAGCTCCGTCTTTCAGGCCAGATCCCAGTATCCAAAACGCCAATGATAACATCAGAACCATAATTAGAATCCGACCAGAGCCCACGTTGGTTTCTGAGTCCAAGAAACTGAGGAGACCGAGTGGTGTGGAGTTGTTTCCGTTGGTCTTCAATCACGGCAAGGACTGATGGGTGTTGGCTGAGAGTGGCGGCGCGGTCTGGTGTTAGAATGGCGGAGAAGCCATGGAAAACGGTGTCGTAAGTGTGGAGTAAAAGGGGAGTGGTTCCAGGGGAGATGGAGGATAGAGAGGAAGCGTACCATTGCTAGTGGGGAAAATGGAGGGCTTAGATTGAGAGTCAATGCGAATGATGTAGGTTTTGTAGGGTTGATCAAAGGTGGAGAAGGATAGGGAGAGGAGAGGGAGAAAGGAGAGGAGGAGGAGGGGGAGGGAAGAGGAGAGAAATGGAGCCATGGAAGAAGTTGAGAGTGAAGTGAAGTGCGTGTCTGTGACCGATGGACATGGAGAAGATATAAGAGGGAACAAAGAGATTATTGTCTTTTTCATTATTATTATTATTTTCTTAAATTAAACTAAGCTTGGTTAGTAGTTTAATTAATTTTTGATTAACTAAGAATTCTTGGAATTTGTAAACGTCTGCAGATATTTTCTTGAAAAGAGGATCGATGACGTGTGACCTGAATAATTTTCCAAGGAATTTTTTTTATCTGTCTAACGGCTAGATCGTAGTTTTTTTTTAAAAAAAATAAAAAATAAAAACTATATTAATTAAGTGTGTTTGCTTTAAAGATGATAGTTGAGTTTTGTATGTGGAATTAAAAAAAATAAAAAAATAGTTTTTATGGTTAAATTTTATCTATAATTAAAATATATTTAATTTTAATCCTATAAAAGTTAAAACAAACACTCGTAATTAATTAAGTTACCCATACTTTCTATTTTATATATTCAGTAATATTCTCGCAGCAAACACATTTTTTTTTATTATACAAGGTAGTTGTTTTATTATTTAACTATTTATTATATATCGAGATTTAATTTCATTTTTAAAATATATATAATAAGTATTATTATTAAACTTTGTCTATCATACGGATTTGGAATCTAGTTGACTTGCCATTGGATCCCAAACTAGGTGTTCAAAACATCAACCAAGCATACAAAATCTTCATTAAGAATTCTGAAATTCAAAGATTTAAAAAGTGAGAGACGTAAAAGAACTTTATTTTTTAAAGGTTATCTAAAATAAATTATCCATTTATGAACCATATCAACCACGAGAAAAATTAGTCTTTGTACATGATTTGTGTTGTGTGATTATACACCAGACAAGGGCTTTTGCTTTTGATATATAAGAATCTAAAAAGCTTTTGGTGTACAGGATACTGTGGTAATAATTATGTTTTAAAAATATATTAAAAAAATTTTAAATTATTTTTAATATTAAAAAATTAAATGATTTAAAAATATTAAAATAAAATTGATTTAAAATAAGAAATATTTTTAAAATATAAAAAAAATAATGTCTTTATGCAAAAGGGAAAACACATCAAATGATGGATGCCATCCTCGCGTCTGGGAAACAAAAGAGCTTCGGTCTGTGTAGGTAGGCAGGGAGCTGTAAAGGTGAGAGAATCAAGCCTGAGATTATCTCGTCAACATCAATATTCCAAGAAAGAAATAGAGAGGAGTGATTAATAAAATGAATAAAAATAAAGAAATAGTAGAAAGTAATCTTTGAATAATATTAAAGTGAAGGACGGTAGGACCACTTTCTTTGCTTTTCAGGGATGGAGAGAAAGGTGAAGGGCTGCTAATTAAATAATAAAGGGACCAAAGCTAAACTAATTTGTCTTAGAGCATCTCCAACGGCTTTGCTAAGTAGAGAGCTAAATATTAAAAAATATTATTTTAACTCTTTAATGTTTATTTTACACACTTTTAAAGAAAGTAATAAATAATATTTTTTTTTCACAACTATCATTCCTATATATATATATATATAATTAAATTTTGTTATTTTTTAGTTTTGGGATGCTTAACTTTTTTAAGATGAGATGACATGTTTGATATTTATCAATAAAGCTTTTTTTAATACATATGATAATTTTTAAGATTTAAATGTATTCTTGTCAAATCAAGGGTTTCAATTCATGTTTATGCTTTTGTGTATAGATGTATTTTTTTTCTTTTATATGAATAAGATATTATTGTTTATTGATTTATTTATTTTTTCTTTTCATATATGATTTACAGGTATAAAAATTATTTTATATCTATAATAAAATCATTGTCTTTCTATAAAAATAGAGATGTGGATCATGGGTTATGGTATTAAAACAGCGAGAAAATTAATTGACATCGTTGTATAAAGATGGCCGGCCGTTCGATTCATGGGGCTCACCGGGTTAGTACCTTACTTGTTCAAGTTGTTCCGAAAAGGTACTCCGGTGCAGACAGGGTCCTACTCCTACAATATTCATATATTTTATATGCACTGTAAAGTGTGAAATTCATACCTGTAAAACCTGAGACAGATACCGCCTCCGGCGAGACTCACATCATGAACTAGCAGGGTTGTTTTCATTTTTTTTTTAAATATCAAAATTATATTTTTTTACAAAATAAAATTAACGGATCAAATTAAACTTTTTCTATTTTTTTTAATTAGAACATTACAAGGTTACAGGTGAGCTGAATTCTAAGTGACTGTTTCGTTACACGGTGTAGAAGTTAATTATTAAAGTGTTTTTTGTTTTAAAATATATTAAAATAATATATATTTTTTAAAAAATATTTTTAATTTTATTACATTAAAACAATAAAAAGTAATAAAATAATTTAAAACTATTTTTTTTAAAAAAAACACAACCACAGACAGCAACACCAAAATCTAATCAATTTGGTCAAAAGTTGTTATAGTTTTTATAACTAAGGTGTGAATAGTTGGTCAAAAGTTATAGTTTTTATAACTAAGGTGTGAATATGTTTTATTTATTTTCTTCCTACTCTACACAGCAGACCCACTCGCATCAGGGAGAGTTACCATCATAAGTTTTATAAGATGTTTTTTTATACCCTTATTTCCACCATTGATCATTATAACCAACTGCGTGTAATTATTGAGATGATCAAATCCCTAGCAATTTTGATATATATTTTTGATCATCGGACTAAGGGTTGATCGCTCTTCATTTTTTTCAATATCCAGCATGAAAGTGTTCCCCTGTACATCCGTTGAAAACCAGCATCAACCCTCGCCGTGATCTGATCATCAAACCAAAACCGATTGCTCGTTGTACATGCGTTGAAAACCAGTATCAACCCTCGCCGTCTGATCATCAAACCAAAACCGATTGCTCGTGCTTCATCTGTATGTGTAAGCATCCCTGTATGCTTTGTTGTGATCTTCGGCACCTGGCTGGCTGTGCCACCATCGACACCGCAATTCCATGTCACCTCTCTCTCTCGCTCTCACACACCAGTTTACATATCTCCCCATCCTTTGAAAACATGACAGCCAAGTACTGGAAAGCCCTAGCAGGATCAACAAATTTACTTGGAAAAGAGTATTCCTTTCGATTTCTTACAAATATGACATGTTAACTTTGTTACTCACCCAACCCTACCAACAGGACTCCAAGAATGTTACTGTGTTGATCTGGATTTCTCGCTAAATTAAACACGAGGTAAATGGCATATTGACCAGTGTTGTTTTGATCGTGGATGCTGAGATTCAACGTAGTGTGGTGGTGGGGTTCATGCCCAATGGTGGAGTATACTTAGTGTTTCATGCCTTGCGTGGAGGTTGCGCTTCCAGGAAGTGGTGAGTCTGGAAAATTGATAGGCGGACCTATTCCATGCAAAAGCACCCCTGTTCCAGTTTTGAAATGTAGGTTTCATCTTATGCCTTAACTCGATGTCTGGAAATTAGCTAGTTACATATCGTGTATTTTTATTTTTTTCGGGAGATTTTTAACTCTAAGTCCCTTAATCCTCATTTATTAAACGCATCAAAAACCAGAGTATTTATCATATTTAGAATGTTTACATCACATTTTACTATAAAATATATGGGAAAGTGCTGTCCGAATATATGGAACATTTTCTTTACCAATTAATGGCTGTAGCACTTAATAAGAGGATGCCTACTGGGAAGTCCCATGTTCGAGACTTGAAAGAACGGGTAGGAATTTTTGTGCAAAGAATATTTTTGTGCTTTTCTCATGACCTGATGTAAAAAGCACCACCACCACATGGAATTTGCAAGCCTTTGATACGTGTAAATATGCCCTTAACAAGATAAAAAGTAATGTTACAAGCTAACTATCTGATAGTTTTGGTATAAAACATTATCGAGTTGCTGCAATTGTGGCCCAGGCCAGCATCGCGAGCATCATCTTCCAACTTGAAAGTTTATTAAAATAATATATTTTTTTATTTTTTATAAAATATATTTAATATTAATACATTAAAATAATCTAAAAAAATAAAAAAAATTATTTTTTTAAAATTATTTTTAAAACACAAAAACCAAGAAAATTCGTTTTCCACTTTATACTTTGAGTGTGCCTGTAGTCTTGTGACTTGTGGGAGACCAATAAGTGAATAACACAGGGCCCAAATATTCCCTTCTCTGCAGCCCAAAGAGTCCAATTGTACTTGGACCAACGAACCAGCCGTGCTCATTTTTGTAAGTTGAAGAGTTTTTAAGCCCAAAGAGGAAATACCAGAAATGCTGCATTTGTGGTTATGCTCACGAGCTAAGGGAGTTTCCCATGTGATTGGGGCATGGTCGGGACTTAAAGAAGCTGTGAGATCTGCTTTTTCTTAGCAAGAATGTGCTCCTAAAGGCCTGGAAAAGAAACCAACTACTGCAATTTCAAGGAAGTTTTCCCTACTCTCCAGATCTGAATTATAACTATTCTTGTTCTATTTGTATGAATTATTGATCTTTCTAAAACTGGGCAAGTTCTTGAGAAGGTGCAGAGGACTGGCTTTCGAAGTCTGCACTGTATATTATATGCCTCCAAGCAGGCCTGCCAATTTCCATCTGTGAAGAGTGGGATTATGAAAATACATACTTCCAGTCGATTGAGAAACCTTGATGCAAACTTTTGAATGTGCAGGCTATTTTTTTTTTTAATTACCATATATATCGAGAGTAACTAATTACTACAATTTCTTAAGATTTCACAGGTGAAGAAACACAAATATAAGGCAGACCCAGATGGATGCTTCTGTTTGGCCACACTATAACATCTAGGAAATTAATTATTGCGTGACACAACTCAGTATTACCGTCTGTTTTTAACTAAAAGCTGGTTGCCTTCTGAATCAAATCTGTTTAGTATTTATTGTGATTGTATTTTAAAATATTTTTATTTAAAAATGATATTTTTTTAAAAAATTTTATATTAATATATCAAAACGATGTGAAAACACTACTAATTTCTTTCAAAAATATTTTTAAAATATAAAAGCATATGAACTCTTAAAATTAATATAAACTCAACAAATAATTAATGTCGTTGCAAACAAAAATAAATATAAAGGAATGTTTGAGACAATGATAAATATTGCTTTTAAAAAAAATTAATACATTAAAATAATATATTATTTTATATTTATAAATTCTTAAAATTGATATAAACTCAACCAATAATTAATGTCATTGCAAACAAAAATAATATAAAGGAATGTTTGAGACAATGATAAATATTGCTTTTAAAAAAAATTAATACATTAAAATAATATATTATTTTATATTTTAAAATTTATTTTTGATATTAGTATATTAAAATAATTTAAAATAAAAAAATAAAATTTTATGAAATGACAGTAAGAGCGCAGCCCCAAACATACCCTAAATAGCATACCATATTTTGCATGTTACTATTAATTATTTATCTGGTTTTTAATTTTCTAAACCTTGAAATATTTAAAGATGATGTTAATGTTATTTTTATTTAAAAGAAAAGGACAAAACTCTGTTTTAAATTGAAAATTGCACTCAATTCAGTGCTATTGTTATATGTGGAGAAAATGAAAAGAAGATTATACGAATACCTACATGTTATTTTATTTTATATAATTTGTTTAATCGATGTTAAAATATATTTTTAAACTAGTTTGTATATCAATTGAAAGTAAGTTTTAATAATATTTCTTATATCAATTTATTATATATTCAAAGAAATTTAATAAATTTATATATATACCGATCCTAGAATTTATTTTTCACAATACTATACTTAAATACTTAAAAGAAGATGATTTTAATTTTAGGAAACATCTAAGTGCAATCTTAGGTATCTAGCCATGCTTTTCCATATGAAAAAAAAAAAAAGTGCGAAAGCAGATTATAGTCATGTTAGTTTTAGGTGTTGTTTGGTTATGTTGCAAACCTAGTTTTATTTTGATAATATTAAAGAACTATATAAAATTCTAAGATATGAATTATATTATTATCTAATATATTTTTTTTAAGTGAAAGTCTTTGGGTTTGAAATTTATACATGCTCACATTATCTTATGCTTAATATAAATAAATAGGGATGATAAAATTCGAACTTGAGACCACTTGATTATCAAAACTCTGATATCATGTTAAAGAATTATCTCAACCCAATAGCTTAAGTTTTTAAATGAGGTCTCAGGATATAATTTATATTATTTTCTAACAAAGGGGACCTATCAACACTTGTAACCGAACCTGTGGTTTAACAAAAGTTAAAAAAAAAACAGCTTGGCAACAACAACAACCTCATTTTTTAAGATACATCGACAAGCTAATCCCAGAGAAAAAAAGAGTCGCTAGAGAATATCAAACTTTCCCAGCTGGAACGATTCACCTTAAAAATTCACTGCAAAAAAACATTGCAATCGTTTTTTCACCTAGCAGATCCCTCTTTTCACTCACAAAATTTTTTAAGATCTTTGTTTTTTTTGACTATTCTCTCCTCTATTGTCAAAAATAATTTCCTTTTTTTTCCCTACCCGATACGCCTTTCCAAGCTCTTGATCTTGTAGATTTGATTAATAAAAAGGTATTTTTTTCACTGTGAACTGTTTGTATATTTTTTGTGCCTTTCATCTTCACAAATGACACCAAAATTTTTAGATGATAGTCTGGAATCGCCTTGAGTTGTAGTTGCAGGAGAAAAAAAAGAAATGAAGTCCATTTTCTTTTGTATTACTTCTCATATTTTTGTATTTATTGTTGATGAATTTATTTGCAGATCCAAGTTAGTATTAGAGGCAAAAAAACAAAGAGATCCTGAGAAATTATTTGAAGAAAAAAAAGGTGTTGTAGTAGAGAGTATTTATTTCTGTTTTTACAAATATTTAACCAGTTATTTGTTTTTAAGAATACATAAATTAATATTTAGGTGTTGTGTATTGTTCTGGGTTACAATATTTTGAATATATGGTGCTGTGAGGATTGTTAATTAAGCACAAACATTTCTTGCTCGGATGCCAATATAAAAAAAAAAAAAGGTGTTGTGAATTAGGTTAATTAACCATTTATAATTTTTTTAAAATTTGTATTTCTGTCTTGACAATACTGAAACTTTGTTTATGGTTCTGTTAATTTAAATACTGTAGTTGTCATTTTAGTCCAAAACTACTGCTTTATTTTATATTGATTTTAGGACTTGATGCTATACAATGCTGTAAGTACTGGTTTCCTTTGAGATTTGAGAATTGGGAGGCAAGGGTTTATAAGAAAAAATCCATAATTTCATTATCTGAAAGAAAAAATTATTGTCAAGCTATTTGATATTTGGTCTGTAAAGGATTTTGGAAGATAAAGAAACTGAATTGACTGTTTTTTTTTAAAATTATCTTAGTGAAGGACCACTGCAATTACCACATGTTATACTATATTAAAATTTCGATATAATATCTTCTTTTTTTTTTTTGCGAAATTTATACATAGTATATTTGATAATTTTCTTGTACCATTTTTTCATGAAGATTTGCAGAATTGATGTGTGCTATTTTTTCCACACAGATAGGACAGTATTCAAAATCTCATCGAAAACTTACAGCAGCTTGCCAAACAAAAGCTAATAGAAAAAAGAACAGAGGGATTATTGACATAACATCTACGATTGGATTCAAAAAAGCGTAGGCTTCAGGCAATTTTGTGAAGAAAAAACTGCTTGAATCAAGGGCAAAATTAAGACAGATACAAATCAAATTTAAAATATTAAGCATAACAAACATTTTGTTCTTGAAGATAATTGTATTTTGACTGAGTTATTAATATTCATATAAAAATGGATATAAATTAATATTAATATAAAATAGAGTTAAGGTAGACAAAAAACTTTAAACTCAGCCAATCAAAAATCCTTCAATTATCAGCTAAAATAAAGAATAAAAGAAATCATATTTTCATACAATATCTAAAAATCATATTTTCATATAATATCTTAATGGAATTCTATATTATGATCGGGCTAGAATTTTGATAGAATGATAATTAATTTTAGTTGATACCAGAAACATACACACACCCACCCACCACCCTCACACACACAATGATGGTTTAAGTTCATTTTAGGACTATAAGTCTTTTGCTTTGAATTTCATTGTTGTCTACACTACTGATTGTTTTACATACTTATATTTTAACTACATTTCTATCCAATATTAATCAAATTATTATCATGTTATAATTTATTATGTTTGCTTTCAAATATATTATCCAACTACGAATGAAAAGTCCTAAAATTTTGGATAAAGTTGCTTGGAATAAAAAAATATTGCATGCTTTTTGTGACATTTGCATAAGGTTATCGACATGGGAATGAGACCGAATACTCATTTCGACAAAGCTGATGGAAATATTTGTTGACAGTTTTCAAAGAACAAACTGGTCATGCATTCACCTAGACACAAATGAAGAACAAATGAGATGACTGCAAAAAGGATTGGAGGATATAAACGAAGCTTATTTCCAAAACTGGTGTGGGATGGAGTAATGAATTAGGAACAATTTCTACAAGTGATAAGTGGTGGAAAGCAAGAATTCAAGTTATTTGTCATGATATTTAATCTTTAATTTTTTTAAATCTCAGTTTAGTAATTACTAAATTATTTGAAGTTGAATTAAATAATTTTATTTGTTCTGTGTAGAAAATAAAAGGAGCAAAAAAATTTAGGCAATCTGGTATCAAACTATCTTTACATTTGAAGTTTGACAGAATATTTTTGAACATTGTTGCTACTGAAGAGTATACATGGGCACACCATTGTCTGGAGTCCTCTGTGATGATAATGTTGGTATTGCTGAGGATCCAAATGCTAATGATAAAGAACCTGATTTGGAAGAAGGAAGCGGTGATTCAGGAGAAGATGAAATTTTAAATTTCATCGATGATGTTTGCAACATGGTTATAGGGGTTAATATGTCCAGCAATAGCAACACACGCAGCAGTGGAAAGAGAAAAGAAATAGAATGTTTTGAGGTTCAAGCTAGAAAAAAAAAGTTCTAGAATTAAGTTGCAACTACTGTCACGATAGAATCAAATGGTTAACAACATGTCAAATAATAGTGATCCAACAACTATCAATAGAGATAGAAAAGGGTGTGGTATTCTTGAGGTTATAACCGAACTTCACTCAATTGAAGGAGTTCATATCGATAATGATTTTCATGGGTTTGTTATTGAGTTTTTAGGTTTAAAAAGGAATTGAAATGTGGTCAAGTATGGGTAATCTAGAAAACAAGATGAAATGGTTGAAGAGAATATATGCATGACATCAAACACCTTAGACTGAGAGGTATTTATTGATCCCAAATGAGTGTTTCATTTATTTGTTGAGAATATTATTATGTAAATTGTTATGTAATACATTTTTAAATTTCTTGTCAATTATTTAAATTTGCAGATATCTGAAGATGATATGGAGTAATAAATTCATCTATGTTCGTTTGGGATCCTATTTGTAATTTTAATAATTCACATTATAAAGAGACACTATTGCAATCAGTTAGATTATGAAGCATTAATATTTATTATATTTATATTATGGATTATATATTAATGTAGTTAAAAGTTGTAGTGTTATTTGATAATTGCTGAGTATTATGAATTACAATTTGAATAAATATTATGTAATATTAATGCCATATGATGTAAGCAATGCTTTTAGATTTTACATAATAAATATACTTATGAATGTCACATATTGATGACACAAACAAAGGGTTGTGTTTTAATCGACATAATAATTTTTAATTATAAATTTCACTATTTAAGAAATTTAATTATAAATTTATTTATAAAAAATTGATGATGTAAACAAAGGGTTGTGTTTTAATTGACAGAACAATTTTTAATTATAATTTTTATTATTAAAAAAATCTAATTATAAATTTATTTATAAAAAATTGATGATTCAATCAATAATATAATTGATGTGGATTAACGGGAAGGAAAAAGAAAGAATATACAAAATGTTAAAAATATTTAAAAAACTAGTTTGTACATCAATTGAAAGTAAGTTTTAATAATATTTCTTATATCAATTTATTATATACTCAAAGAAATTTAATACACACACACACATACACCAATCTTAGAATTTATTCTTCACAATACTATACTTAAATACTTAAAAGAAGATGGTTTTAATTTTAGAAAACATCAAAGTGCAATCTTAAGCATCTAGCTGCGCTTCTCCATGTTAAGAAAAATAAAATAGTGTGAAGTCAGATTATAGTCACATTAGTTTTAATATGAGATCAGGAAAGCTTATTCATAAGACTTAGAAATCATATAGCAAACCTGCGGGCCAGATTATAGAAGAAACGAGTAGAGTTAAAAGTTATTATAAAAGAAAAAGGTTATATTAATTGATGGATTATATGAAATACGTTGAATCCATGTTTTTTAAAATTTTATTTTAAATTTTTTTTAATGTATTAATATTAAAAATAATTTTTTTATTTTTTTATATTTCTAAATAAAAATTACTTTAAAATATTTCTAAGTAAAATTATTTTAAAAAATAAACTTAAAAAAACTATATATATAAAAAAATAATTGATACTTTAAGATTTATATATAATTATTCATAAAATAAATAATAGTTAATATCACCATAAAAGACTCTAATATTATTTGAAAACCATGGAATATTTTTATTTTAAAAAAAACTATCTAAATCATTTATATTTAAAGATATTTTTGTTATAAAATTGGGGGAAATTAAATTAAAAAGGAAAATTAAAAAGTGAAGTACCATTATAAAAAAAGAGAGGCAGGCACGCCTGACCAATCAGAAAAAAGTTAACCCACACGCAAGCCTGAAATGCCAGGCTTTTTGGTTAAATATATGGACATGATCATTGACTGAAAAATCTAGATTGCGACAAGATACCAAAGCTTCTCTTCAAAGAGATCCAACAACTTCATTATTTAATTAAATCTAAATATAATCGTAATCATTCTCTAATCCATCACAAATGCTTAAACATAAAAATACCTCTATAAAAAATCTATTGTTTTCCGATGAAATATTTAATCGAAAATACCAAATAATTCCCTTAAAAAATTAATCATCAACAAAATTTCCAGTGAAAAAAAATCAAAAAACATTTGTCGGAAAACCAGATTTCATCATAAACAATTATCAATTTATTTAGTTTTTGAAAGAAATAAAATTGAATTTAAAAAAATAAAAAATAAAAACCCAAATATTCTATTTTTTAGTATCAAATTAAATTGTATTTTTTGTATTTTTCTACTGGAATTTTGTTTGAATGGAAATTAATTTTTTTAAATTATACGGAGTTAAAAATTTGCTAACAAAATCACAGCACCATACCATGTCATCAATACTTTTATTCTTCCATGTAAACCGTGTTAACATCACATTTCCTTCCTCTACAGGGCTGTTTTTTTCTATGTTTTAAAATTATTTTTTAAAGAATTAAATTTTTTTATTTTTTAACTTTTTTATATGTTAATATCAATAATAATTTTTAAAAAATAAAAAAATATTATTAACATACATTTTAATACAAAAAACTATTTGAAAAGCAACCATAACCACACTACCAAATAAGCTCAAATTTAACATGTATTTATTTTTTTAGTATATTGTAATGTAGCAATTATTATTTTTTAAAGTATTTTTATATATATTAAAATAATTTTATTTTATTTTATTTTTAATATCATTGTATCAAAACAATAAAAAATTAATTTAAAATAAAAAATAATCACATTTTAATTAAAAAATTAAAGCTCAACACCCCTTAATCATCCCTTAATCATGATCTATGTTTTAATAAAAGTTTCTTCTAACATTAATGGCATATATATATAGCGTTTATGTTTTAAGTAATTACAATCATCTCACAGAATTAGCATAAATGATTACGATCTATGATCGTATGTTCAAGTCCTGTCATAATTATTAGCTTGTGAATTTTTATTCCTCCCTGTGGATAATTAGACATGGATTAAATTAACTGTTCCTTGAAAATTTAATCATAAATTCCTATTTTCTTGCAACTGTAAGGAAAAAAATTGAATTTAAACCTGGTTGTGTTGTGATTTTGTCGGCAGAGTGAAAAATTGAACTTGGAGGACCAAAAAATACGACACCTTCACGAGAGAGATGGAGATTTATAGGATCTCTAGCCTGTTTGTTTGTTTTTATGTATTTTTTTAATATTTTTAAATTATTTTGAAGTGTTGCTGTTAAAATTAAATTTTAAATAATAACAATAAAATATTATTTTAATATGTTTATAAATAAAAAATATTTTAAAAATAATTACCATTACCAAACAAACTATTTTAATTACATAAATAAAAGAAAAAAATTGAAATGAAGAGTAATTAATAAGATGATACAAGTTATATTATAATCTTCGTAAAACTTATAGTTAGGTGGTGACTTATAATTAAGTCATTCAATGGAAGTTATCAGCTTTATTTAGTGTTTATTTGATTTTATATTAATTGCAGTTTAAAAAACAAATTTAGTTGTAATTTTAAAAAAATATATATTTAGTTAAAATAATTATGAAATAGATTTTTTTCTTACAAAATAAATTAAAAACAGGTTTTCATTAAGGAAGAATATATTACTTTAGCTTATCAAGATTTAAAATACAATTATATATAAATCCAATATAAAAAATTAAAAATAATTTGACTAACTATTTTTTTTCATTTTAGTTTGGAAAAAAACAGAAATTATAACATGGTAACTACCTTATTTAAGAAATATTTGAGAATATGATAATAGTTACTTTTCAAGATATTTTTCAATTGAAAAGATATTAATTTTTTTTATTTTTTTAAAATTATTTTTAATATCAACACATTAAAAAATATAAAAATACTAAAACAATTAATTTAAAATAAGCCATGTTTGTTTTTACTTTTTAAAAGTGTTTTTTTGAAAAAAATTGAATTTTTTTACTTTAAATTAATTTTTTAATATTTTTAGATTATTTTGATACATTAATATTAAAAATAATTTTTTTTTTAAAAAAAATATCATATTAATAAATTTTTAAATAAAAATATTTTAAAAAACAATAATAAATATACTTTCAAGCATCTAACTTGTTAAAAGGATGTTTAAAAGTGTGGTAATAGTTGTTTTTCAAAATATTTTTAGTGAGAAATATATCAAAATAAAATTATTTTATTTTTTTAAAATTATTTTTAATATCAGTACATAAAAATAATATAAAAATATTAATTTAAAATAAATAAAAATCATTTCTTTTTATTTTTTTTTAAAAAATTTGTAAAAGGTGGTACCGACAGTGAACGCAACGACACTACCTGGCTATTCATGCAGCTGCCAACTAGTCAACGTTGCAGCTGCCAGCTGCCCTTATATAATGGCTTAATTGCAGAGAAGTCCTCGCAAGTCTACTGTAAAGAAGGTAATCATTTCTTGCTTGCAGCATCAAAGTTTTAAGACAAGAATAGAGAGAAAAACAACATTGAAATCTTGTATATTTTTAGGTGTTTTTCCCTAAAGAAAGATGGAGAGAGATTGAGTCGTTTATAATTTGGGATCCTCTATGATGAAATATCTCTACCACTACCAGCATACTTGTGGAAGTTCAACCATGTAAATCTTTGTGTTGCTTTCTGTGCATGACCCTTTCATTCCATTGTCCATTCCTTCGTAGTCTGCTACCTGTTTCCTTGTTGTGACTCAACACGATCCAATGTCAAGCTGCATAACACCAATCAAACACGCAGAAAAACTAATGCATGTTGCCGTCTTTGCATTCCCTTTTGGTTCTCATGCTCTCTCTCTCTCTCATTGATCTGGTGCTGAAGTTAGCGAGGGTTGCCCAGGAAACGAGATTTTCCTTTCTTAACACCGAAAAATCCAACAACTCGATCTTCTTAGCATCAAGAACCAACCTACCTGATAACATTAGATCATTAAGATACCAAAGCTTCTCTTCAAAGAGATCCAACAACTTCATTATTTAATTAAATCTAAATATAATCGTAACCATTCTCTAATCCATCACAAATCCTTAAACATAAAAATACCCCTATAAAAAATCTATTGTTTTCCGATGAAATATTTCATCGAAAATACCAAATAATTCCCTTAAAAAATTAGTCTTCAACAAAATTTCCAGTGAAAAAAAAATCAAAAAACATTTGTCGGAAAACCAGATTTCATCATAAACAATTATCAATTTATTTTATTTTTTGAAAGAAATAAAATTTAATTAAAAAATAAAAAATAAAAACCCAAATATTCTATTTTTTAGTATCAAATTAATTTTTTATTTTATTTTTTTACGGGAATTTTGTTTGAATGGAAATTATTTTTTTTTTCAAATTACTCGGAGTTAAAAAATTTGCTGACAATCACAGCACCACACCATGTGACCCATACTTTTATTCTTCGATGTAAACAGTGTTAATATCACATTTCCTTCTTCTAAAAGTACAATCTTCAGAGGTGATCAAATTTAATATGCACTTATATTTTTTTTAATGTATCAGGAATGTAGCCATTATTATTTTTAAAGTATTTTTTATATAGAAATATATTAAAATAATTTTATTTTATTTTTTTAATTTATTTTTAACATAAACATATCAAAAAAAATAAAAAATATTAAAAAAATAAATTTAAAATAAAAACAACCAAATCTTAATAAAAAACAAATTAAAACTCAATGTCAAGCACCCCATGATCATGATATATGTTTTAATAAAAGTTTTCTCTAACATTATATATATATATATATTGTATGTGGTTCCACATCATGTGATGGTGGAACCACCATATTAATTAAGAAAAGAGGTGGCTGGCTGACTATTTGATTTAAATGTGACTGCTATTATTGATGACAATAGCATTATTGAACAAAAGAGAGGAGAAAGAAAGGAAGAAGAGACAGTAGAGCAATCTCTCTTCTTTCCTTAATTTCTAGCTCGTTTATCGTTAGATCGGGCTGAGATTTTGACAGCATCTTCTAGACATGTTACTTTTCATTTTGAACGGTTGGATCAAAGATTGGTAGTGTGAAAGTTGACTATTTTAACAGAAAATAGAGCTGTCAGTATTATGAGTTTTTTCCTCAATACTTCTTCTTTAATCTTGTTGTATTTCAAGAATAAGTTATTCTTAATGATATGTATGTTGTAGCCCTTAGTTGAATTTAAGAAAGAACAATTGTGAACCCATTATTTGTTGATAGTGAAAGTTTTTAGATGGAATACGATCTCGTGGTTTTTCCCGCATCGAGTTTTTCAGGTAAAAATCTTGTTGTTGATTTGTGTGATTATTGCTTTTATATTTGTTGATTATTTGATTCTGATTTTGATTGCACACAGAGAAAAAAGAATTGGAACTTGTGAATTGATCTGGGTATATTGGTGTCCCGTTATTTGTTCCTAGTTTTCCTAACAGAGTGGTATCAGAGCACTGGTTGTATAGATTGAATTTCTTGTGCAGTTAAAATGGAAAAAGAAGATTCGGGCATGATAAAGCTCATTTTCTCCAATTATTTTCTATGGAAAGCAATGATGGAGGATCACTTATATTGTAATAATTTGGCTTTGTCGCTTGAGTGTAAAAGAAAAAATCCTGATAAGATGAATGAGGCAAAATGGAATGGGCTTCATAGAAAGGTGACTGTTTATGTTAGAAAATGAGTATCTTCTAAGTTCATTAATTATATTTCTAAAAAACATGAGTGCTATATAGTTTGGAAGATGTTGCAAGAAACCTTCGCTAAGAAGAGTGCACAAAACAAGGTTTTTATAATTAGAGACCTTGTGAAATTGAAGTATATAGATGGTGAAGATGCTTTAGTGCATATAAATGAATTTCAAGGGTTCTTGAATCAGTTGTCATTGATAAATCTTCAGTTAGTCGATGAGATACAAGCACTAATCCTATTGAGTTCATTGCTGAATAATTGGGAGACTTTGGTAATGTCACTTAGCAATTCTACTTTGAATAGAAAGATCACTTTGAAAACAGTGAAAGATTGTATCCTCAATGAAGAGAAGAGGAGAAAAGGGACAAGCACTTTCGAGTCTCATGCATTTGTTACAGAAAGTTGAGGGAGAAGTCAAAGTAGGTTATCTCACAGCAAGCAAGATAAAGAATCTAGCAATAGAAAAGACAAATGGAAGCCAATAAGAAAATCTCAGTCAAGAAAAGGAATTAAATGTTATTATTGTGATAAGCCTGAACATATTCAAAAAGACTATAAAAAGTATAAAAAGCATATTCAAAAAGACTATAAAAAGTATAAAAGAGATAAAAAGAGTAAAGATGAAGACAAGAATAAAGACAATGGTACAATTACAGTTGTATTTGATGGTGATGTTGCTATTATTTATGATGATGGTTGTGTTAATCTTGCATGTCAAGATACCACCTAGGTTGTAGATTCAATAGCTTCTTACCATGTTACACCATGACATGATTTTTACACATCATACACTATTGGTGACTTTGGTCAAGTTAGGATGAGAAATCAAGGGATGGCTAGTGTTGTGGGAATTGGAGATATTTGGTTAAAAATCAATACTAGGTGCAAGTTGCTACTCAAAGATGTTAGGCATGTGCTTGATATGTGTCTACACTTGATTTGTACAGGTATTCTTGATGAAGAAGGCTATCACAATTACTTTGAAGATGGTAAATGGAAGCTCTCAAGAAATTTCTTAATTGTTACTAAAAGAAAGAAGATGAGTCTTTACATGTCATAAGTCAAGGTGATAAAAGGGGAGGTGAATGCAATTAAATATTGCTCTACTTATTTATGGCATAAATGACTTGGATATTTATATGAGAAAGGCCTCGGCATCCTTGCCAAGAAAAACTACTTTCTATTAAAAAGTATGAATTTGAACACATGTACTCATTGTTTAGTTGGTAAATAACATAGAGTTGCATTTCAAACATCACCTTTACATAGAAGTTTACTGATTAGTACTTAAAAGTGCATTTTTATCATGGTTTTATATCATCATTTTGCACTTGAAGTATCAATAACTCCTTAACTAAAGCATGTTTTATAATAATATAAGATACCTTTAATTTATGGAAAAT